ATTCACTGGATTCAGTGTGCATGGTCCTGTAGCTATCCTTAGAGGCCTATGCTCTACGAGGCTTTAGACTCATTCTAGTTTTTAGCAAGACAGTCACAATGGAACAGCTTACCTAACCTCAACATTAATGGTTCGCCCTACAGACATTTGTTGTATAGCTACTGAACAGACTTTTAAAAATACTTCACGAAATAAGGATTTCAAGTGGGATGTTCAATAAATACTGTATAAAAAGTTGCGTACATAGATATCTCTTGACAGACAGCTGATGGCATAGTTTAATGTTTACATCCCAGAAGAATAGGGGACCTTTACCAAAAGCCCAACCTGTTTTTAATTTAATTTGTATACTATGCTAATATTTATAAACCCTTACTTCAGTGTCAGAAATCAGCTGGTCATATAGAGATTTGACTGACAGCACGCCACATAAACCCTTTCCTTGTCCACAATTGGGACAATTTTGTCAAATATAAAAATATCTCCACATTGGTACACAATAATGTTTTAACATAATTAATGTTCAAACTGACCAATATTCCTGGAAGCCCCGGTGGTCCGGGCTGACCATCATTTCCTGGCTGCCCAGGGTAGCCTCTATCTCCAGCTGGTCCATGTGGTCCAGTAGGTCCCGTATCTCCCTTTTCTCCATGTGGACCTGTTTTTCCTCTTGGTCCTTGATCTCCTGGTATACCAGGATCACCCTTAAAAACAAAAAAAATATATGTTTACAACTACACAACGCAGAATTCGAGAGACTGATAACGCACTAAGGAAAAATCACTACAAATAAGTATGTTACAAAATGAGAAGATATCGACCTTTAAACAATAAAGATTCAAAGAAGCAAAGTAATCTATATATATATATGCTGCTAAAAGGACACTACAGTAAACTGATCTGTGCAACCTCTGCTGCACGGCCTGTGATAAAAGATAATCACTGTATATGTGTCTCATAGTAATTCAATAGAAAGCCAAAACAAAACAATGGAAACATATATAGCTAATAAATAGTGCTGTGCACAATTCATTGCTTAAAGCTGCAATCCTGCAAATGCTATTTATCTTGTGACAGAGTTTGAAATTGGGAATCATTTTGAGCAACACATTCCTATAATTAGCTAAGGGAACAACTGGTTTACAGGATATTTACAGGTCCAGTGTTCTTCCTGACAGCTCTTTCTGAATTTTCAAAGATTACACCTGCAATAAGCTAACAGGAACTTTTAACAGCATTCCCTAATGATACTGCAGGATCTTATTGACCAGCAAAATCTATATTATTGGGCAAACATTTTTTCTTGGAATTACATAGGAAAGCTTATTTTAATCAAGTGGTCATGATTTAATTAGTCACAATAGACTCAGTTAATACGGATAAAAAACAAAGATAACAATATTTTATTTTTTTAAAGTTATTTTTTACTGTGTCCAACAAAATAATAATTGGAAACTGCAGTCAAAGGACTGAAGATAAAGATTGTTATCCTGATGTGTAAACTTTGTGAATTGATTTAATTAGCATTAGGCTGCTAATAGTTAATTCCATAAAATATGTTGGATTATGTTATATGATGCACAGTGAATTAATAGCTTAGCTCACTGAAATGTTTATATTATATA